TTTATCTGTGAATTCAATGCCGTTCGGCGAGTCTCAAATAAAAATGTGGGCATCTTACTGTAAATTTTTTTTTACCATTAATGTAAAAAAGAAACTCTAAATAAACTAAATTCACATCCAGAATCGAACCTGGGTCTTCTGCACGCGAGTCCGATGACTTACTAGGTGAGCTAAAGCGCCAGCAACGTCTTTTGTATCCGTCACATTTATATTCTTGATGACAGCTGAAACAACGTTCAAAGAACGATTCGGAGCGAAAATGGCTATTGTGTTGCTAATTTGCAGGAAATATCTAGAAGAAAGTAGCTAAGGGTCCTCAGAAATGTAGCTAGGTTCATCACTAGGCGTTAGGAACAGCGACAAAGTCGCTGAGTTGGCACTGCCTCTCTCTCTGCTGTTAAAGCTACGGATAGCAAATGCTACGGGCTATGCCTGAGCGTGAACGCGCACGAAGCAGCCTGCTCGACCCGAGCATCTCTTTTTCTGTGATTTTACAGAAAAACAGGCAATCACAGTAAAAATGCCAGGGCTCATTCTACAGGACCAGGGCATTGCAGGAGAATGTATGAAGAAGACATTTATTATTTCTATACATGTTTTGGCTGTCAAACTTCCATAAACAGGGTATATACAGCAATTCTTAAGTAAAATGTACTACTTTTTAATAATTTTTTTTACTACCTTCAGAATTTTTTTAAAACCATCACAACACTAAATTAAAAAGGGTTAATCAGCGACCTATTTACACACATTTTAACATATATAACATACAAAAAGAATAGACTTAGAGACTCACTGATGTTGACAACGAATTGCACATATTTATTTTACTTAGAAAATAAGCCAGGCACTTCTGTTCAGCGGTTCAGACAGTTGACCACGAGGCCAGAAATGATGCAGAACGACCACTGAATATGACGTCATCATTATGTGACCGGATATGCTAAAGTAGGGCTGCTCGATTATGGCGAAAACAATAATCACGATTATTGTGACTGAAATTGAGATCTCGATTATTTAAGAAGATTTTTCAATTTATGTAGATTTTTTGTTGTTTTTATTCAGTCATAAAACTGCTCAGGGCACAATCAGGGCAAAAATAAACAAGAAACAAGATGATCACTAAATTAACTCCTGATTCCCAGTATAAAAAGACCAATATACTTATAGCAAATGACCCAAGGGCTATAAACCTTGGTTTAACTCATTTAAGTCTAACCAGTACAGACCCAAATACCAATATCTTGCAAATACTGACAGCAAGAATTATACAGTGGCATTTATAACAAATACATGCAAATTGATGTTCACTAAATTTTGCATAACATTTATTTAGTCATGTCAAGGTGCTGTAGGAGAGTGCTCTAGCACCGTGTCCTCAGAGAGATTAATTATTTATCAGCGTGAGGAACTTATTTCTACCTTATTTATAAACTATTTATTTACAGGTCCATCAGTTAATGTAATAATTGTCCCAACCACAGCTACACCCCCCACCCCCCAACCCGGTCTCACAGCAATCAGGGGCAAGCTGCACGTGTGTTTAGCACGCCGCACGCGCACATTTAGCCGTTTTTATCGGCTCAGGAGTCCGCAGGTGCGGTGTGTGTGTCACTCACTCTGGTTACTCCAACATGGAGCCGGCTCTGAGAGCCGTTTCTTTAGCGACTGACACATCACTACATCATTCCCTTTCCTAATGTCCTGAAAAACGGTCCGGAGCGCAGGCGGAGTGTTTAGCTAACCTGCAGGAAATGTCGACGACAGTTATCCAGAAAGTAGCTAAGGGTTATCAGAGATGTATCTGAGGTGTTCGCTAGGTACTTTTAAGATTTAAAAAGTCAAAAAGGGGGTCTGAGAAGCTGTTAGAAATAGCGTCAAAGTCGCCAAGTTGGCAACACTGTGGAGGAGCGCTTCATTTGTAACTCAGGGCAGCGCAAGTGGGAGGAGCAAATAATCGGCTTGTTTTATTTTTATAATCGTTCAAAACATTTCATTCAGAATATATTTCTATGTCGATGTTCAGAATACGACATCTGATAGTCTGAAAAAGTAATACATAATTTGGAAAAAATAATACCTCTGAGACCAAATTTAACACTTTTAATGGCCTTAAATTTGACTATTTTTATTTATCACTTTTTAATACTTTTTAAAACCCCGCGGACACCTTGATAAAGTCCCTTTAAATGTGCTGTGTGCTGATTTACCCTGATGACCCTATGACACTGCTGGAGGTTAGAACCTCTGTGTGCAGCCATGTACAGTATCCACATAACTGAATAGACAAGCTATGGATCTTTCCAGCATTCGTCCAATGTCCCAGCGCATTCTGGTGCTCCAACATTCATCTTTATTGTTCTTTTCTCGTCCAACAAGGACAATTGTCATTAGGGCTGAACGATTTTGGAAAATAATCTAATTGCGATTTTTTTTTCTTCAATTGTGTTTTAATTCACAATTATTTTCTCAAGGGGCTTTTCTCATTTTTCAACTAATGGAAGCAAAAAAAAAAAAAAAAAGATCTATGTAACTTGTACTGAATATAAACAAGTTTATGTATCTACATATATCAACAAGTTTATTTGTCTACACATACATGAACACTCACAAGTAAAGACACCATCTTGTATTTGAAGGTGCAATGCTTTGCAGCCAGGAGCACATCCCTTGAAGGAGTATAGGTACTAGCATCAACTGTGAAAATTTATTTGCAGGAAAGAAGTGTGTCCCATTTATTGAAGTCTTTTGTGTTTAGTTTTTGACATCTTGTCCATGCAGAGCTTCTGTTTTTCAGCTACGTTCACAGCTGCTAGCCAAAATTCAGTGGAGTTGGAAGTAAGGGTTGTATGAACTAGTCGACTAGTCGAATTCACTGCTCTGTAGTGACTTTTTATGCCTGTCATCGACTAGTCGCTGTCATGTGATAATGACAAGATGCAGTCCTCGGAAAAGACAGCAGGTGATGAGCCCCTGCGCGTCTGGATCGAGGCGGAGGCGACGCGCTGTGCCAGAGCGACGGTACTGACACCCGCCGTAAAACGGACATTTAACCAAATTGTGACCTTTACCCTCTTGCAATTTAACCTTCCCCTCACCCCCATCCTAATCTTAACCAGCTTGCACATGCAAAGCTCTAATCGTTGACGCGCTCCAGACATCTGCGTCCTGAGCACGGCCACAGTAACATTATCAAATCAGGTGTCACCACTCAAAAACAAATGTAACGCGATCGTTCATGTTGGCGCATTTCCTTTTATGTTCTCTTATTTTTGCCTGATGCACCCCGCTGCTGTGGAGCATGGCGCATCACCATGTCCTCCGGTGACGCACTGCGGCCGGCGAGCAGCGCGCACTCTGCTGTTTTTGCGGCCGGTGGATCTTTTAGAACTGCAGTTCAAAGGTAACTCATGAGGTGAATATATATGAACCCAGGTAGCAGTTTTTATTTAGGATTGAGAGGAGATGCAGGAAGATAATAAACAGACAGGACAGAAAAATAGTCAAATTAAAACAAGTTAGTTTTCATACCTGCTGGTTGCAACAAACAGACACCACTGAAGGTAATCAGAAGTGAGGAACAGAAAATGAAATAATTATTTTAATGTTTAGAGCAGCAGGAACTCTGAGAGGCTGCAGGCGCATCAGTGAGTATGCGGCCGCTGCGCAGGGGGAGGGGGGAGAGGGCTGAAGCAGGAACAGTATATATATGCAGAAACTACTGTTGTTAAAAGAGATGCGTTTAACTTTGAAAATGTGGGCGCAATTTTAATTGTCAAAAACTCCAGCGAACCAACCGACCCCCCACCGCATGACGTCATCAACGACTAGTCGACGTCGACTCGATTTTCATTACTTGACTGTCGACTTTAAAAAAAATTAAGTCATGCAACCCCTAGTTGGAAGTACAGTTTTCTAGCTTTACTAAAATATCTGTCCGTACTTATTTGATTAATGGCAGTTTTTACTTTTTATTAGACTCCAAATGTAATAATTTGGCACGCTCCTAATTCGTAATTTGTAAGAATCTATTCGGCGATATTAGCATTAGCATCCCTATGGGTTTTTCAATGTATATTAGCATTGTGCTAACCACTCGCTGCCAGTCAAATCGCAGCCTTTGCGATTAGAAAATCTCCTTTTGTCACATCGCAATTTAATTGCATATGCAATTAATCGTTCAGCCCTAATTATCAGTAGCTCAGGATAGCGTTAGCAGTAGCTATGGCTAGGGCTAGCAAATGCCCAGGCTAGGGTTAGCAGTAGCCCAAGCTATGGTTAGCAGTAGTTTGGGACAGCATTGCTCTGCGGTTAGCATTACCTCCAACGTTTTATATATTGCTAAGATTGAAGTGGGTTGGGAGAGTGTGTGATGATGATGTGTTACACCAGCTTTCTCAGGAAAAACGGTTTCTCTGTAGCTATTACACCAATACTAATTAGCATAGGAAAACAGGTCAGAGACTTTTTGGTATGCTTCATTAAGCACCCCAAGCTGCATTTATTCAACACCAAATCAAATGTGCTTTTGAGTTCTAGAACCACTTTAAAAGGTGAGGCTGTGTGAGCTCATAACAGTGCGACGGTATTGGAGATGCTTCTTTTTAAAAGAATTAGCCAGAATAAATAAAACAGTGTGGGGTTCCCCATCTTGCCTTGTTCGTCCTCTCCAAGGAAATGTGGTAAATCTGTCAACAGTTTACATGTGAGGGTTGCAGAAGTCTGTCCGTTTCCATCATCTCAGACTTAAGTCTGAATAACCACACGTTGATTTTGGTTTGGGAATGTTTACCCAGAGGTTCCACTAAGTTACGATTCTCCACAACAATTTTTTGACGACTGTGACAGTTTACAGCCACTTAACCTCACCTGCCCAAACGTATAACATGCGATAATAAAAGACCCAGAAGGTGTTTGAATAAGATACGAAGAACAAAACAAACGTTTGTATCCACTGAACCCAACCACCAAGGAGCAGCTTAACAGTTACAGTCTCTGACCTTTGGTGCCAGGTGGCTGCAGGTTGTCTCCGGTGAGTGCGCACCAACCAACTGGGAAGATGTCACGTGAGTCATAGCGGCAGTGGTAATCAAAAGCCCCACGCCATCCATCGAAGGTGACCAGCACCTCGACTCCACGCAGTGCACCGACTGTCGCAGGGCAGATGAAGTGTGGATTTTTCCGATCCACCGCCTCCAGCTTCATTCCCACCTGGAAAGAGTTCTTCTCCGGAGGAGGTGGCTCCTGCTGGAGAACATAGGAATACAAAAAGGGGTTCAGGCATGGCAGTTTGTGTGCACAAGTATATGTCCACATCTAAAAGTAATTAAATGAAACATCCACTCATTTCTATGTGTGTGAGCCTTGTAGAGAGGTACCTTGTGAAAAATGCGAGAGGGAGCCATTTCAGCACCGTTTAGTGTTTTCAGCAGAAACATGGGCCAGGAAGAAGCATTGAGACGAAAACCTGGACAGGAAAACAATATTAGCTGAATATCAATGAATGGATTTTGGTCAATTATTTAAAACATTTGGCATTGAAACATGTCAGGTTAATTTGCAAAGTCACATTTCCCCACTTCTGTTAAATGTTAGACTGGATTTATCCTAAATAATCATTAAAACAATCATTTGCAGAGCTAAAATAATGAAATTGCACACAAACTTCCACACAGAAACCAAACTTTATCAGAAATTGTGAAGTATTATAATTCTCAGTGGTCAGTTACTGACCTCTAGAGGACAAATTATGAAGAACATTTGATGATAAACAAGAACGGTTTCATAATATTAAAGAAAAATGCTATTTTTGACATTAAATCACTGCTTACCCAGTGGTGGCTGCAGCATCCCTCCATTCTTCTCACAGCTGCCTATTGGCTGGATCTCTGAGGAGTCCACCAGGCGCCAGAAGTCGTTCTTATTGTCTGACCCGTCCAAGCGCAGCCTCAGCCGAGAGCCTGTCAGACCCACCACCGTGGCGATGCAGGTGGACGTGGTGTTCCGGGGGTCCTGGGCCTCCAGCTTCATGCCCACCTTGAACTCATTAACTGGAGGTGTGAGGCTCTAAACGTTGGAACAGCAGTTGAAAAGGTGGCGATAAATTCAGCAGACAAGTTGAAAGTCTTGATGTTTAGTCAAATCTTGTTACCTGTTTGAAACACGACGAAGGAGCAGCTGAAGCTCCCGTCTCTTTCAGGTACTTTTCCCAACTGAAGTGGCCTGCAGACGAATATCAGTGTTAAATCAGCAACACTGACACAAAATTGTCTTTGTGATTTATTTAAAAACAATCAAATAACTAGTTCACCTTGGTACAGCGAGGGTGCTCGGGAGGGCCGACCGCTCCGTGCATGCTTGATTATTTGGGGATCTTTCCATTCTAAAGCTGCGGGACACAAAACTCTTTCACTGGGAGTCACGGCTCGATGAACTACAGTATAAAGGTATGGTACAACTATTTTAATAAAACTTTTACGGCCATTTATAAAAGATAAATGCTCACGTTTTTGTGGCACAGGCTTCCTCATGCTCCAACAATTCTGTCCAGCTAGAAACCCAACCGCTCTAAAGACAAGAAAACAAACACAAAACAAAATATGAGATATTTGATGTAAAAGTCAGGCTAAACCACTATTAGCTTGTTCAGATCTAAAATGATGCATCAACTATGATACAGAATCCATGTAAGTCACTTTTGCAAAGAGTCGGTTAAAGATAAATCCAGTAATGATATTTTTGTGCACGGAAAGTTAGTTTAACAACTGGTTTGTGACCCTTTAGTGTAAATACGGCAAACAACACAAGTGGAATCGGTTTTAATGAATAAGACCTCTTAAGACTCTGAAAAAAAGCACAATCATGCCATAAAAATTAGGGATGGACAATATATCGGCATCAATATCGGTATCTGCAAGTGTTAGTCATTTTTTTTACATATTGGTTCGATAAATAAAACTGGGTCAATATTAACAACTAATATTTTTTCCATCTCATCTCCATTTGTTTGCTTGTTTTAGAGGGTGAGGGGGTTGATGTGCAATTGTTTAGTGATGTGACAGTGATTGTAATCCTCTCAGAACCGTAAATGTGTGTGGTGTGTGTACATAATAACGTAAATTCAGCTTTAATCAGTTTTATTCTATACAAAATCTAATAAATTTAGAAGCATTAATGTCAGTATATCGGTATCGGCCCAAAAATGTCATATCGGTGCATCACTAACAAAAATAACAACTTGCCTCTAAAAGTCTAAATTTTACATCAAGTTAAAATGAAAATGAGGTCGTTGTCGTCTTCCTCCGCTTATCCGGGTCGCAGCATCCCAACTAGGGAGGTCCAGCCCGTCCTCTCCCCGGCCACCCCCACCAGCTCCTCTGGCAGGACCCCAAGGCGTTCCTGGACCAGATTGGAGATTTAACCTCTCCAACGTGTCCTGGGTCGATCCAGGGGCCTCCTGCCGGCAGGACATGCCCGAAACACCTCCCCAGGGAGGCGTCCAGGAGGCATCCTAACCAGGTGCCCAAACCACCTCAACTGACTCCTTTCGATCCGGAGGAGCAGCGGTTCTACTCCGAGTCCCTCCCGAATGTCCGAGCTCCTCATTCCTATCTCTAAGGCTGAGCCCGGCCACCCTACGTGGTGGAATGAGGTAATTCTAAAACAAACACGGGAAACCTGTCATTAACTAAAACTTTTAGTAGATATTATTTTATTTTTGTCACGCATCAAGGTCAGATGATTAAACTAGACAAGAAAAAATGAGCCCAACGAGCAAAATAGTTTGCGCTATAAGCTGGAAACACTTAATGAATGAAAGAATGAATGGTGAAAGAGTGAACATAGGAAGAAGAGACTATAAACAATCCAAGGCGATCTGACAAATATTTGAATGTGTCCTGGCAAAACTTCCTTTCCACATCATCATCATCAGGGCTGAAAGAACTATTAAAGTTTGGATCTGAATGAAACCTAAAACTTGGGATTTTCTGCGGCTGGGATCAGGAAGTGGGCAGTTCCTAGAAACAAGCTTACCTTAAAACTTCATAACCGTCTGGCAGTGTTCCTACTCTCCGGACGATCTCGCTTTCGCAGAAGTGCGCCTTTTTCCTACGCGAAAGGGGGATGGCGTCCAAATTAAAGTAACCCTGCTCCTTGTTTTCAAATCTGCAAATCTGACAGGGAGACGGGAGTTAGAGCGGACGCACCTTCCTCCTGTTGCCAACCCAGCCCCCAAAACTCCAGCCGCTTTCGTTTGTCAAGCATCTTCGTTCAGACGCTAGATTTTCAACACGCCCGGGAGCCTGGAACATGTTAAGCTCCATTCAAAACACAAAGCTAACACATGGGTAGAAGAACGCCCTCCTTTTAGGCTACACGTTTGCATAAAACATTCGTGACAGCAGCGTGCCGAGTGTTGTTTATGAGTTATCGTCGGCTTAAAACAACACGCAACGGCTGGAAATAAAATATTACGAAGTGAAACGCAACATTCGTGCAGTTGCTACGCTACACACGCACGCAGACATGCCCACTGTCTTGAGATGCTAACCTAGCACGCTAAGCGACTCACGCGCTGAAACTGATTACAAATATTAGCATTGGTAAAACGGGGCTTTAGCTAACGGTAGTCTGGGCTCAAGCCGTACCCAGACCTTAAACGGGAGTTTGTACCTTACCCAGTAACGCCAGAATCGGCCTTTAATGGTAATTCAGCTTCTTTCCGCCATATTTTTTCATCCCGATGAGGAGGGGGTGCAGTAGCCAGCGTTTCTTGTTGGACGGTCAGGAAGGCAGACGGACACGGCAAGAAGGCAAGGCAGGCGGATGTAGGGTGAAACTACGGCATCTAGCGGTGAGAACTCGCTACTACAACCCAAAGGTGAATTAAAAACAGGCTCCGCATGGAAATATTTTTCACACAACAGTAAAAATCCGCAGTGTTTGATATATTTTTAATGTATATCTAAAATGACAGATTTATTTTTATTTTTGGGTTTACTTTCCCACATAGGAGGCTTCATAATAATGAGATTATTTTCCATCACATTTTTAAATCTCAACTCAACACAAACTAGTATTAAAATGATTTTCTTACTTGACAGGTCATTTGTTTATATGTTTAATGTTTTAAACAAGTCTTTGAACAACCTTTAGCCTCTTAATGGAGTACAGTAATGATAAGAGAACCACATGAATCACAGGAAAAGGGGAATTTGATTGATTTTAAATGCGGTACAATTTTTGGGAGTCGGATAGGCTGGCTAGAGTTTACAGCTGCAGAAGACAACACCTGGTTGTCACTCCTGAGGCTACAATTCACACGGAATCACCAAAACTGGACGTAAAAGGCTGAGAAAGTGCAGATTTTATCTCCAACATTCAGAATATGAGGAAAGGCAGGATCCATCCTGTCTCGTAGCAATGGTTCAGGTTGCTGTAGGTGATTTGATGGCGTGTGGAGGATGTTCCTGATGCACTTTGGTCTCCTCACCCAGCCAGCATGCATAGGTGTGCCCCATGTGGACACATATGGGCAAAGTGTATGGGTGCCAACAGGGTTTGTCTACGGTTTCTGTGGTTGGGTAAGACACTTAACCCTCCCTACCTGCCTGCTGGTGGTCGAAGGGACTGGTGGCGCCTGTGTTTGGCAGCCTCGCCTCTGTCAGTGTGTCCCTGGGCAGCGCTGGCGACATAGCTCATCATCACCAGCATTTGAATGTGTGTGAATGGATGAATGATACACTTTAGTGTAAAGCGCTTTGGAGTCCTCTGATTCTGAAAGGCGCTGTAAAAGTGTGGGCCATTCATCATCATATATGACGCTGGCTGGGTCAGTACGAACGGAGCATTGGTTTACCCCCACAGCCTCCCTGAGTATTGTTGCTAACCATTTCCATTCCTTTATGACCACACTGGACCCATCCTCTGATGGCTACTTCCAGCAGAATAATGCACCATGTCACAAAACTCAAATCATCTGGACACACGGTGAAGAGTCCACAACGACCTCCTCATTCTCCAGATCTCAATCCAGTCTAGAGCCTTTGGGATGCGGTGGAACGGGAGGTTTACTTAATGGGAGGACCGTTTACAACACCTCGTTGAATCAATATGAAGTGACCAGTTAGTTGTTCCAGTTTCTGTCTTTATAGAGTTTCTATGTAGTAAGATGTAAACCTGATCTTTAACGGAACCCAAAATAATTTTACATCTACTTTAGTAAAACATACTGCAGCAGTGCAAAAGGTCTGTACTAGTTTTTTTATTATTGCTCTAGTTTTGTGTGCTGAAATCAAAACACGAGGAGTTCGCCTTGAGCGTTACATGAATGAGATTTATTTGTAAGAGAAGACTTAGTTTAACCTTTTAATCGTTATTTGTTCCCATCAGGATAATTAGTATTGTGAGCCGATTTGACGGAAATACAGCTTCATTTCTTAAAAACCACAAACTCAATATTTATCCGAGTTACTCACTCCTTATGTGCCAGGCAGGACTCTCCGTTCAGGTGACCTCCACCTACTACAGATTCCCCGTCAACGCTGCAAAACCCGTGGTGAACGAGCTTTTTCTGTCTGCGCTCCAAAACTTTGGAATGATCTCCCACTGAATATCAGAATCTCCTCCTCCATTGGGGTTTTTCAGTCCCACTTAAAGACTTATTTTTATTCTCTTGCTTTTACTACCTAGCTATTTTATCGATGGTTTATTTACACTGTTCTTTTACTGATTTTATTGACTTCTCATGGTTCTTTGTGTTTTGCTCTAGTTGTTTTATTCTTTTAAATTATTCTTTTAACCCTATATGTTTTTACCCCTGTACAGCACTTTGGTCAGCTCACATGCTGTTTTTAAATGTGCTTTATCAAATAAATGGAATGGAATTTAAAAACATAGCAATGTGTTAGAAAACTGTTTTATCCTAGATGTGATCCTAGTGTAACAAATGTAGCACAGGATAATATCTCTAAAGACATTTTAGATAAATTAGAAAGGTGTGAAAATTAAAATCAGGGTTCATTTGGTAATATCATGCCAATTAGACGAGGGTAGCAACTGTAACTATGTGATTTGAACGGACACCTGGTGGTTCAATTGTGTGTAATGGTCACCTGGCAGCACGGCTAATGCCCATTTTAGCCTACGCTGGGCAGGCCACGGCCCATTGGCCCCATGCACACCAGGCAATTATGTTTGGTTTCACACGGTGAAAAGGGTTAATTGGCAGCGCCCACGTTCCTGCTTGGACCTGTTTCACGCTTGTCAGCCTTCATCGTATCAAAGGAAGCTTCAATTCACCCGGCACCAATATTAAAACACACACACACACACACACACACACCTCAGCAGTGTGCAGGAAGTCTACATGGGCAAATACTATCTTTATTCTTTTAAGAGAGTAAACAGATTTAATCTCTTTAAAACGTAAATATAAGCACACACTCTTGTATCACTCATAAGAACGAATAAGCAAACTGCTTGTGAGTGTGTGTCATCACCTGCATGATGTAGATTGTTTTTGGGAAGTAATTCCACATAAAGTCACTAGGGGTCAGTGTTGTCCCTTAAAAGAGCATGCCTCATCATCGCGACACTAAATTGCTCCATCTCACGCTGATGCATTCTGTATTTCCTTTGACTGCGTATTCTCATCATCTCGCCAGCATCATCCCTTTAAACTTTTATTCCATCTCGCATTTCGTAATTCTTTTTGAACAGTCCTCTCTGTTTTTGTGTACGAGTGTTTAGTTTCCTCTTGTGTCAGATGCATTTGGAAACTCATCTAATTACAGTGTCTCTGTCTGTGTTTTTACAGTTAAAGCCAAAATACGCCTTGTGCAACCGTGCCCACTGTATATTGTGTACGCTTCTGTGTTTTTGTGGTGTTAGCTGTTTATTTAAAGAAATACAACAACTGTGAAACTTAGTGTGCACTTCTGTAAAAAGTAAACATGCTATAAGAGAAAAAACAATCTAAGATTATCAATTTTTATTACACTTTAAAGTCTTTTCTTCAAGCTTTTGATCAGTATGATAGCGATTATCAGACATATGTTAGCAGCTTCACAACAAACCTGCAAAAGTGCAGCTTTTTATGAATGCACATTTAAAAAAATCCAATTTTAGTGGGTTTGTGTGTGTGTGTGTGTGTGTGTGTGTGTGTACCAGCATTTTTCTTTGCAATGTCTCACTTTTGCTCTTTTCAAGTTCTCACACTAAGTGAATTTGGCTCACGTAGCCGGGCAACAAGTTTTTTTGGATTTCCATCGTCTGGCTGAAGATGTCCACCAGCCAACGGCACAGCTCCATCACTGAGGCCCCGTTTCAGCGCGTGCAGAGGAGAGAAAATTTCTCCCTCACTGTGTCTCCTTGTCACTTTCAGCACTTTGGCACAGCACAACAAAGTCAACCCTCTTCCACATAAATGCCTCGGCACACACATGCACGCTGCGAGATGCTCGTTGTGTGTGCTCTCTCACAGCTAAATCTCAGAGGGTTCTCGTCAATTTCCATGAATGAGGACATGCAGGCGTGTGCACACACACACACACATTTGAACCCAGTGTCCTGATACACACTTCCCATCTCTGCTGGCATCCTGGGTGTCACATGCATGGAAAAGTGCAAGAGCATATGTTGAATAGAGGCTTGTTGTGTGTGTGTGTGTGTGGGGGGGGGATGTTTCTCTTGGATGTTGTCTTACAAGCTCTGACGACGAGGTGCAGAAAGAAGGCTTTTTTTTCGTCCAATTTATTAATCCTTTTAGGCAATGTTCTCTGTTCAGAAATGCAAATTGAATCAATCTGAGGCTGACTTTAAGACTTTTCAAGTGGGATTTAATTAGAAACCAGGGCCTGCAGTTTTTAATGAGAGAGGGGGTGGAGAGATGGAGAAAGAGCGAAAGAGAGAGGCATGGGGAGGGAGAGTGGGTTGCGGTTTTGATCTGGGGGTCCTGCTGGAGAAAGGATGCACAAACACACACACACACACACACACACACACACACACACACACACACACACACACACACACACACACACACACACACACACACACACACACGCACCCTGTGGAGCAAAGAATGAGGCGGATGCCCGCTGTTTAGTTTGTCTTCACTTCCATCATCTTGATCTTGTGCGAGTTCAACCAGGGACCTCGTTACTTCAGTGAATCTCAAACTTAAACACACCCAGCCTCTACTATATATATATATATATATATATATATATATATATATATATATATATATATATACATAAAGTATCGTTGCACACTCGTGTTAATAGGACACCCCATCTCCAGGTGTGAGGAACTGTAGGGCTGTGAATAGAAAAGTGAAAATGTGCAAGTTCAGCTTTAAATATACTAAACAATTTCTTCTTCATGCATCTGTAACCATCCAACCTGTATTCAAACTGAAATGGTTTTAAAATCAGTTTTAAACCAGAAAAAAGCTCTTCCCAGCAACTGTTTGTTTTCTGTTATTTTTTGACCCGCCTCTCTCTGTGTCACTTAAAATCCAGTGCCTCGCCTTGTAACAACAAAAGTTGTGTAACTCCTTAATGGTGTTTTGGAAATGTAAGTATTTCCTAGGAAGCCATTTTGGGATGCCAGCTACCTTAGCACACTTTGGGTGTGTGCTAATTGTGTGTCCGCTAAAACTGAGCTGTTTTTAGGTTGTTTATCTTTCATTTTGGCAGATCAGAAAGGTGGGAGAGTCCTGACCAGAGCGCTTAAACAGTGGAGTTGATGGAGATATATATAAATATATATATTTTTTGGTTTTCTGAGTTTCTTTTTACAGAAAGTACATAAAATAGTCT